ACAGCCTCCCCCACAGACGGGAACTTCCCTGAAGCCTCTAGAGGGCAAAAAAGGGACCTACGGGGAACCCAGAGATTTGGGAATGGTGACTTCCGGCTTGTCCATAGGACTGAGGATTCCCTGAAGGCTCCGGAGGGTGAAAAATGGACTTGTGGACAAATCGGAAGTCACCATTCCTGCACTTTTGGGTTCTCTGTAGGGCCGATTTTCGACCTCCGGAGGCATCTGGGGCCTTCGGGAGGCTTCCCTGAAGGCTCTGGAGGGCAAAAACTGGTCCTACAAGCAAACCGGAAGTCCGTTCCCGAATGTCCGGTTTGCCCATAGGGCCGTTTTTTCGTGCTTTGGAGGCTTCAGGGAAGCCTTCAGAGGGTGAAAAATGCCCCCCCCCAAAGGCTGACAAATGCCCTGACAAATGTCTCGTGTCCTGACAAATGGCTCCACGAGCCACCTTTGGCACATGTCCATAGGTTCGCCATCACGGGCCTGGATGTTCTAATGTTTCTTTCAGCATCTTCAAATCAGGAGAACTATAATCATTCTAGTAATCTGCCTTGCACTTCTTTGCCTGGTCATTTGCATTTCCTTTAACTCTTATTTGTATTTTGATACAAATAGCCAACAAAGGTTGTCAGTTTTCAAAAATAACAACCCTGTTCTGGTTTGCTTAACAATTGAAATTTGTTTTAAACTAACTAAATTCTGTAATCTCCATTCAATAGAAATGGGTTTTAAATTACTATTTAACTCATCTGGATTATTGCCCTGATATTATGGAATAATTACCAGTCTTCCTAGAACAGATTTGTCAGAAAAAGATTTCTTTGGTATGGTGAAGGGTCACTTTAGGGTTGTGACCTCACTTAACAATAACTACATGAAAGCTAAAGGTGGTTTTTTTAAAAATAAACGTCCATGTTCCAATTATACAAGGCACATTACTGAACAAGAATATAGTTTTTAATCTTAGGGCTTCATTACAGCCAAATATACGGATGATCTTAAAGTTCCATGTTAGACCAGAATCTTTTCCAGCCTTCCAAGGAGCTCAGTTTGCACCTGCACTTAAAATTAAACCTAATTTGTAAGGCCTGTTTTTAAGCTTCCCTTTGTATTTTAAAATGCTTTTCCATGACTTTGGTTTACTTACAATCAAACCATCTGTTTGGATTTACACCTTTTCTTCCTTAAGTTATTCCAATTGGTCTGACTGTTCTAATCTTGATCAATAATTTAAATTCTTCCTGGAGCCAGGCACTTCACAAGAAATTAAAATCTTGCCACTTTTTATGGTCGTGTTTGGATCCATTGGAGATCATGAATGTTCATTGGTTAATCTTCAGCACTGTGCTGTGACATAAAGATCTAACAGATTTGTCAGTTTTGTTCAGTAATACTTTGTTCTTCTCCTCTATCCACCTTATTAGGTACCATGGCTGTATAATAATCGCTAAATTCAGAAGGACATTATCTTTAGCCAATTTTACAATCTACCAATAGCTTCCTGAAGGGAGATATTAAAATATCTATTGCACTGTGTTGAAGGAACAATTGAAATGCTTATGTTATGCAGTATTGTACTGCTTGTAATATGCTGATGTTATCTCTATTTTTAGTCAATTACCTTAGAATTGTATTTCCATTTTAAATTTGCATATGCTTCTCTATGTAACAAACCATTCAGTTATTCTTTATGTGAGCACACTTAAATACGTATATTCCTGCTTGCTCTTTTGAATAAAAGTTTTCAGAGGAGTTTTCTCTTTAGATCAGTGTTATTTAGAAAGTTATAGTGAGATTTAAATTGAATGTGTCCCATGTGACTGCTTCTCTCAATGTCCACAATCCCAGCACTCCTAATTTTGGTTGTTGTTATCTCATTGGTCATTAAGTGGATGGAGTCCAAGCTAAAGAGTTCTTCAGGGCAATGGGGAAGTCCTTGGGAGGTCCAGGATAAACCATGTGTAAGTTTGGGATGCTATAAACAATCCTCTCTGCTCTGGGGCTGAAAGTAATTCTGATTGAAATCCAAGTAGGATTGAAATCCTTTATAGTTGAAAATTGTGTTTGGATTTTGACAGGGAGGATTTTCAGCCTCAGAGCAGAAAGGCTTATCTGGAGCAGAGTGCCCCAGAATACAATATCAGAACAGGTTATTTCTCTATAATTTATCTTTGGGTTTTAATCTGTGCAAAAACTTAATAACTGATGGTTTGTGATTTGTCCTCATTTATTTTCTAGTTTATCTTTACAAATGATCTGAAAAGATTAAAGGTAAATTCAAGGATTTTCAAGGTCAGTCTTTGAACTCTGGTTCTAAAAATCCTCATTGGCTGAAAATACTGCTTGTATTTCTGTTGGGAGGATTTTTACTTTGCTACTCTCTATGTTCTGGGACTGTAAAATCCTCCATGACTGAAAAAGCTGCTTAAATATCAGAACAATTTTCTTTTTTCAGCAAGCCCCCACAGGGTAGAGTGGGTCCTCTTGACAGGTGGCAATGACTTGTGGCCTTCCTTCCTCTCGTTCTCATTAACTTTTTACTTTTTTATTTTTTAAATTATTTTTTATTATACACCTCTCAAAGTTCCTCTCTGGGGGAGTTGAGCAGGTCAAAAATGTGAAATAAAATAAAAATAATAACTAATAAAATAAATAATTAATAAAATAAATAAAAACATAAAATAAAATGCTAGCTAGCTAGCTAGCTAGCTTAGCTTTCTGCTGAGCAGATCCAAAATGTGAAATAAAATAAACTAAAAAGCTAGTTAGCTAGTTTAGCTTTCTGAAGCCAGCAGGAAAGATTTCAAATGGCAATGATATGATTACAGGGTGCTTGGCAACCAGTCATAAGTACAAACATTTTCAATTGCCTATATCACAACCATGTGACCACAAAGGACCCTTCAACAACTATAACTTTAGGAATCGATCATGACTCCAGCACATTCATAATTTTGAATGTTTATTGAATTATTGGTCATAAGTTAAAAGCTACCTTTACAGATGTTCTCTTGGAAGACTAATAACCAAGCATTATTAGAAACATTCAGTGCTAATTCTTATGATTAGGCATGCATAAACAAATACTTATATCAAGTGTGTAAAAGGAGATATATCTTGAATTATACATATAAAAGTTTTAAATCTGTAGAAGGACTTTTTTTGCTGAACAAAAGAACTTGCAGTGCTGTTTACATATTTGAGATGGAATATTATAGACAAATGGCTATCTTACCTGCTTTCACAGAAGAATTCTTGATGCCTTAATAACTAAGAATCAGTGCTTCTAGTAATATAATATTGCTAGAATTTTGAATTATTTTTTCCTCAGGGTATTTTTTTCATTTGAAAAATCAAGTAGATAGAACATTTATCACTTTAAGAGCATAAAATGTATAACTTATGAAGTAGCATGTAATATTTAGATATTTTGTATATTTATGAAATTGGATGTTACTTGGCTCAGGTGTTGTTTCTCATTGGGATTTTTCTGTTGCTGCTTTAAAATTTAAATAGTTTTTCATCTTCTGTCTCACATCTCTGATTGTGGTATTTTGCAATAAGTGTAAGAAGCTGCTTATTTCCCATGCTGCAGCACAGGGCTTATGCCACAGTAGTAAGGTAATGGGAAAAGGCTAATCATTAGGGATCAGGTGAAAAGGACAGCAAATGAATAATGCTATTTGCAATTTTATAGTAGTTATTTAATTCATATTTCATAGAATGATTCTTAAATGCACATTGCCAGATTTTCTATTGAAAAATCTGAAAAAAGTCAGTTAAAGGAAAGGAGAACACATTTTGCTTCCCCCCTCTCCAATATTATTACTGCCCAGGACATCCACCTTTCTTTAACATTACACTATAGATTGTAATCTTAGGTAAAACTGATCTTTCTATAACTAAAAAAAATCAGTTATATATAGTTTTTCTTCTTCTTCCATTTAATCATGTTTGGTTATTCAGAATTACCTGGAGAAGTTGATGCTCTTGTATTTTCAAATTGCATAACATTTCAGAATACATTCAAAGGTAATGTAATATTGAAGAAGTGTTCATTCATTTGGTTAGTGTTTGTTTGAAGTATATCAGTTGGTAAGCATTCGTTGAAGTATATTAGGAAATGAGGTACCCAACATAGGTCCTTTTTAATTACTGTAAATCCCTTCATACTTTAGTTCCACTAGCTCATTTTTAGTTTCTTTTTTTATTAAAAAGTTTTATATTAAACATAAATTAAAATGTTGGACACAGTGTAGACAGTCCTGGCAGAATCTATGCCATACATGCTAAGATGAATCCAAATATTATAAGATCTGGGATAAATTTTATCGATGGTTGGAATATAAAAGGGAAAGCCCAAAATAGGCATGAGTCAAGATTCATAGAATGTAGACTAGAATTATGTATAAAATGCTAAATGCAAGAATGTAGAAGATAAACACAAACCAACATGGCTGGAAATAGGTTATTTTTTTCTTTTTGTAAATAAGGTATGGATCAAATGTTAAAAAAATAGGGTGGTTACAATGTATAACTGAATATCTCATTTTTAGTTTCAATTGCTCAATACTTCAATAGATCTTTCACCACTGATCGTTTTTTGTTTATATAGGTTTGGCGCTCCTGACTACTTATGTTAGACAAGAGTTGTCTGCAATAAAACTCTAGATTGTATATTGTTAACAGCATGGAGATAACTTGCCAGTTTTACCTAATTTGCAGAATCCAATCATGTTCCAAACTATTAAACAGATAAGGTAGAACAGAACCCAAAAATATCTAAATATTGTCATCTATACTTGGAAGATAGAAAATCTCTTATATAAGGCTTCATTCAAAAATTATGGGGGTTTTAAATGTTGGATTTTGGATGTTACCTTATTAATGTAAATAGGTATTATAAAGATTTATATCTCAACTTTGCTCTGTATTGATAATTACCCAAAATTAGTTAATGGATACATTTAATTCTTTTTTTTATATATATATATATATAGGTTCTGCGTCCTGCTGGTAGACTAGAACAACCATGTTTCGGAACAGTCTCAAGATGCTTCTTACAGGTGGTAAATCAAACCGTAAGAACAGATCCAGTGGTAAGTAAAAGGAGTGTCTTGATGCTGTGCAGTCATTTTAATCCAAGGAATAAAGCTACTTCTATGGTAGATCCAGGTAGACCTCAGTAGCATTGCTGCTCTTGAAACAATGCTTGCTTTGCTTCTCATTCATTCATTCATTCATTCATTCATTCATTCATTCATTCATTCATTCATTCATTCATTCATTCATTCATTCATGTGCTGCCTCAATCACTGTCTCAATTACTGAAATATACTGTAGGTGGCTTATATATTTGGTTTAAAATAATTATAAAAATATTAGGATTATCAAAACAGATAATTAAATGTAATTATATGTTGGGAATAATAACTAACTTAAAAGGATTAAAATGAATATGTCATTAAACATTTGGTGGAAGAACCAAGTTTTATGAAAGCTCAATAGGTAAGGGTCATTGTTCTATAAGACAGACACTGCTACAGAGAAGGGATACCTCCTAGGTCAGGCAAAGTGACCATGCTTTACAGCTGGGATCTAATGTATACCAACTTTACCAGATTGTATACCTTGGTTAGAAATTATAGAAGAAAGACAATATAATCAGATCCTAAGTTATAAAGGATATTATAGGTGACAATCAGTATTTTGAATTGCAATAATAATTCTTCTAGTAACTCTTCAGGTCATAGAACAGAGATGCTACATGGGCAAAATGAGGAATAGCATAATTGCTTGTAATGCTGCATTCTGGAAGAATTGTAGCTTCTGGGTGTTCTTTGAGAGTAGCCAAGTGGAAGGCGACTAGAGCATGTGTGGTAGTAGAAGTTCCTCTCAATCCTGGAAAGAACATAATTTTCATATAAAATGCATTTGTGCAAAAACTCTCATAGTCCTGGTTGCTACTTGATCATTCAGTAGGAGTCAAAACTCCAGAAAAACTTTTAAGTTACATACATATTTTACTTAGGGAACTGCTATCACATCAAGAGCTCAAGATGGTAAATTCTTGGCTTGATATTTCCTTGAATCTAGAGGACTCAATCTTGCTAGGGTTGAGACTCAGCCTTTTCCTTCACAGGAGGGATGATACAGTTGGCAATGTTAACATATCCAGACTTTATTCACTTGCTCAAGGCTCATGAATTGTTCTTACATAATAGGGCAGGATCCTTCTCTATTCAATTTGAAGAGAACTCTCCAGCCAGAGTCCAGCTTCAAATGAATCTGAGTAACTTTATCCATCAGATTCTTATACTATTCCTCAATGTTCCTGTTAAGTTTTCCTTCTCTCTATTAATACCATGTTATTTCAGAAAGAGCTTTGGGATTGTGATATGCAAATGCAATAAGAGCAGATAAACAATTTACCTTGCTATTCTTATCACTATTATGAAGGCCTTAATATGGAATTGTACAAGCGTTCAATCAGTCTCTTTCATTGTCTAGGCATGTCTATTCTGATGTCGCATTTCCTAAAACTGTTCATAAAATCAAGAACTCCACCAGGATCAGTGTTAACATAATTCGCTCAGACTTGAAGGACTCTGATATTGAGGAGTCTACTCTGGATGAACCAGACATAGGAAGCATTAAACAATGTAGCACCTGAGGTTGAACCTGTCAGCCATCATCAGAAGTATGCCTAGGCAGTTGATGAAACAAAGATCTTGGGTGATGCCAAGCAGGTCAAAGTTCCTCCTTGTTTGCCATCTCAGCCTTTATTGGCTACCACTTAACAGAGGCTTTACATAAAACTAATTCCTTTGGTACAACCATTCAATCTGAAGCTTTGTACCCTTTGCCTCCCAAAATTCTATCACTGTGAAACTGGACTGGCTGATGACCTAGATATAAAATCTAAGCCTATGAACTATGAATTGATAATACTTCTGCCCAGTGTTTTGGATCTCCCTGTTCGGAACTTATTTATAAGCAAACTGATGTGTTCTTGGGATTCTACTGAGGTGCTTGCAAACACACTCTGCCTTTTACTGCCTGTACTTGCTTTATCCAGAGCACAGCCTTAGCAACCTAACATCTGTGTTTACCTTTGGTTGGCCTGGAACAAGATATGCATGTAAAGAAATGCCACCTATTGCAATTCTATTGATTGCTGCTCACTCCAAAGATTGACAGATCCATCAAAGAATCAGAAAGCTCCTGATTATCATTTGAAAACCATCCATCACCCAGGGTGGAGTTATCTAATAGCTCCCATTTCCTTGCAGGGGACAGCAGCACCAGAAAACTCCAAAGTAATTAGAAAGTGGTCTGACCATAAGAGGGAATAGATTATAATGGTCTTAGGTCTTAGATCACTTTGCATTTGCCTAAAATAAAAACCAGATCAAGCTTGCGATCCTTGATGTATTTTGAGTGTTCAATAATCTGGGACATGTCCACATGTGGCATTTTAATATAGGCCCAGAAGCCATCTAGAGTGAATGATAGGAAGAAAGAAGCTAAAATAAATATAAGACATGATACATTTTCATATGACAGATCCATTAATATAGTATTACAAAATCAGGTTTAAGGTCTTCTTATGCATATAAATTTGGAAGTAGAATATCTTGCATTCAATATATTTTACTTCTTGCTAAGGTCAGCAGACTTTTTGTTATTCCCTTGGTAAGTGGGCAGCTGCTGTCAAAAATAAAGTAAAATAAAATAAAATGAAGTGTTCCAAAATTGTAGCAATATGAAATGCTGAAAGTTTATAATATTTTTGTCATTATCACCTGAATGGTCTCAATATTCTTGACAAAAATAGTTAAATCTCATTAGGTCGGGTTATTTTAATTTAGCAGTACATTTTTATCTTACTTTGGTCTCCAAGTACCATTTAGAAATGTTCGCTCAAGGAATGTATAGGAGTAAAGAATTTAGTCATCAAGAGTTATGTTGTAATTTAATTTCTTACTATTTCTATATGTTTCTATTTTTCATTTGGCGAAACTAGTATTCTGGATGAACAAATTGCACTGAAGTTAAATTTTGCATTAACCTAACATATAGTATTAATTTGGCTCTAAACGGTAATTAAAATTTACCAAAATGTGTAAAGTGCATTGTAGTGCACTAGGAGGATTTGTTACAATTGAAAATTGATTTATTGCTACAAAAGCTGTTTTTTGCTAGAATATAAATCCTGCAAATTGTGACTTGATATTTTGAAGTTAGATGTACAGCATTTCTGATGCAGAATATTTTTGAAAATTGGTACCTTAAATTTATCCACTCTATTTTGAATTTGGGTGCTAAGTTTACAGTCCTCTGTGGATATTGATGGTATAGCTCATATTGTGTTTGAGTTTGGATCAGTTAAATAGTACCCAAAATATATATTCACCAAAGACAATATTTGAAGCTAAGGGAGAATCTTGATGATTCTAAACCTCAAGTTGATTTGTAAAGGAAGATAAAGTTGTATAATATTTGTCTTCTTTCTGAATTTCTAACACTTATTATAAAGTAAGAGTTTTTCCTACTTGGCCAATGAGACAGAAGACTGAACCTTTTACATAGTTACCTCCATTGTGTAATATGATGTTTCAGTCAAGAGTATTATTTCCCTTTTTAAGGGTCACATATCTTTGTTAGCTTTGCTAGAGTCAGACACAATTGTACAGGGGAAATATTTACCTTTAAAAAAATCTTTGGAAGTTACCAAATATTCACAAAAGATGTGGATCCCAATCTTGGCAGTTATGTCTTCTTAATATTTTAGTTGTATCTAAAATTATTGTGACTCTTTTCATATGGGACATAAACATGCTGTCATTCTGAAATTTAAATTCTTCGTAGCATTTCCCAAACAAAGCAACCAATATCAGTTGTTTGGGTCAGTGAAAACCTGCTAAGACATTTCAATATTTAGCGCTATGGTCTTGTAATTCAACTTGACTGTTTATTATTTCAACAGTTTCATATACTTTCCTGCTAAAAAACTGAACATATATGGTTATCAACAATTTACATAGTTGAAAGCAGGATTCTTTAATACTTTGAATATACATTGAATCAATTTATTGTTTCTTTGTAGGAATGAATTAGGAAAAAAAATGGAAATGACTTGAATTTGTTAGCATAATTGTTGAACTTGCTGGAGAACAATGATGATTTTTTTTCTTTGCTTTAGTATATAGAAATACTTAATTGATATACAGAAATGCTTAATAAAAAGTATATATCATCAAAATGAGAAATATCTAAATACATAAAACCCAGAAAAGGAAAAAAGAAACAAAATACATACCTGAATACCTAAATCTCAATTCTTAAGCAAAAACTTGACCACATTGAATAATAGTGATCATTCTGTTATACAATAAAAACCCAACTCATACATAAAGAACAAACATGTCATCAATTCATAACTGTAAATCTGGTTGGTGCTATTGTTCCATTGTAATTTTTCTGCTAAACTTCTTTGGTAAATCTTTATATATTTTTTGGTAAATGTATATATTTTTGATAAAATCACATCTAATACCCATTCAATTAACACAGGAGCTCTCTGGGGCTATATACTCTCTCCATTACACTTTTCTCTATATACAAATGACTGCATCTTGAAAGATTTTTCTGTTAAAGTACTTAAGTTTGCAGATGACACAACAGTTATTGGTCTTGTTGGAGATGATGATGAGTCTGCATCAGGGGTGGGTTGAGCCAAGGTGGCGCAGTGGTTAAATGCAGCACTGCAGGCTACTGCTAGATCAGCAGGTCAGCGGTTCAAATCTCACCGGCTCAGGGTTGACTCAGCC